ATGGGCACAGTATGCTTTTCCAATTTTTTTCGAGATTTTGACTTCCAGTACCCCAAAATTTGGTTTTCATACCATCACTCATTAACTGACTAATTGGTTTTTGGGCAAAAAAAAAATCTCATCAATCTGTCAAATGTGGTTCAGACATTTTATATCTGAAAATGGGGACAGGGAGTTTTATTAAATAAAACTTTTCGTTTTGTTAAGATTTATCCTGTTGGCTTTCATACGACCCAATTCAACTTCCAGCACCTCGTCGTTGTATTGGGCATCTATATTTGACTGATAATTGGTGCAGTAGCAGAAATTCGGCCGAAACTGTTAAAATTTCGGCCCTTGGGAAATTTCAGCTCCAAAAACTGGAAAATGGGACAGAGTATGGGACAGTATGATTTTCAATTTTTTTCGAGATTTTGCTTTCCAGTACCCCATTTGGTTGCCATACCACATCAATTACAGAGTTTTAAAAATACCAACGTTTCGTTTTGTTTCAGATTTCTCCTTGTGAGCTTCCTCCGACCCAAATCAAACTTTTAGCACCTCGATCGTGTAATTTGGCTCTAATAGTTGACTGACTAATTGGTTTTTGCAGGTCAGAAATTCGGCAGAAGAAACTGTAAAATTTCGGCCCTGGAAATTTCAGCTCCAAAAATGAAAATGGGACAGAAGTTTGAGACAGTATGATTTCAATTTTTTTCGGTAGATTTTGATTCTGTACCTATTTGGTTTCACCCATTCATCAATTAATGACTAATTGGTTTGTGGGCAAAAAAAAAAATTTCATCCAATCTGTCAAATTTGGTTTTCAGAAATTTTTATTTCTGAATGGGACAGAGCTTTAAATATACAACTTTTCGTTTTGTTAAGATTTCTCCTGGCTGTGAGATTTCCTCCGACCCAAATCAAAAGTTTAGCACCTCGAGTCGTGTCATTTGGCAATCTATAGTTGATGACTCTAATTGGTGTGCGTTGCAGGTCAGAAATTCGGCCCGAAACTGTTTAAAATTTCAGGCCCTGGAAATTTCAGCTCCAAAAAAACTGAAAAATGGGACAGAGTTATGCGTTATGGGGCAGTTAGATTTTCCATTTTTTTTCGAGGAGGATTTTGACTTACCAGTACCAATTTGGTTTCATTACAATCATCAATTAACTGACTAATTGGTTTTGTGGGCTGAAATTTCATCCAATCTGTCAAATGTGGCATCAGAAATTTTTTCATTCAGAAAATGCGGACGAGCTTTTTAAAAATACAACTTTTCGTTTTTTAAGATTTCTCCTGTGAGCTTCCTCCGACCCAAATCAAAGTTTAGCACCTCGATCGTGTCATTTGGCATCTAAAAAGTTGAACTGACTAATTGCGGATGCAGGTCAGAAATTCGGCCGAAACTTGTAAAAATTTCCGGCCCTGAGAAATTTCAGCTCCAAAAATGAAAAAAAAATGGGGACAGAGTATGCGGACAAGTATGACATTTCCAATGTTTTTCGAGAGATTTTTGACTTCCAGTACCCAATTTTGTTTCATACAATCATCAATTAATGATAATTGGTTTGTGCGCAAAAAGTCATCCAATCTGTTCTAAATGTTGCGTTCAGAAATTTTCATATCTGAAAATGGGACAGAGTTTTAAAATATCTACTTTGCGTTTTTGTTAAGTTTCTCCTGTGGAGCTTAATCGACCCAAATCAAACTTCCAGCACCTCCGATCGCGTCATTTGGCATCTATAGTGTATGATTTTATTGGGTTGCAGGTCAGAAATTAGAAATTTGGCCGAAACTGTAAATTTCGGACCTGGAAAAATTTCTGCTCCAAAAACTGAATAATGGGACTGAGTATGGGACAGTTTATGTATTTTCCAATTTTTTTCGAGATCTTGATTTCCAGTTACCCCATTTGGTTTCATACTATCATCATATACAAGAGTTTTTAAAAATACAACTTTTCGTTTTTCGTTAAGATTTCTCTGTGAGCTTCCTCCGACACAATCAAACTTTAGCACCTCGATGTGTCATTTGGCATCTAAAGTTGACTGACTAATTGGTTGCAGGTCGAGAAATTCGGCAGAAACTGTTAAAAATTTACGGCCTGGAAAATTCCAGCATCCCAAAAACTGAAACATGGGACAGGGAGTATGATAGGACAGTATGATTTTCCACAATTTTTTTCGTGATTTTGTACTTCAGTACCCCAATTGGTTTTCACACCTTCATCAAAGTAACTGACTAATTGGTTTGTGGGCAAAAATTTCATTCCAATATCTGTCAAATGTTGCGTTCAGATAATTGTCATTTCAGGAATAGAATGGGACAGAGCTTTTAAAAGTACAACTGTTCGTTTTGTTTTTAAGATTTCTCCTGTGAGCTTCCTACGTCCAAAATCAAAACGTTTAGCACCTCGATCGTGTCATTTGGCATCTATAGTTGACTGACTAATTGGTTGCAGGAGAAATTTCGGCCGAAACTGTAAAATTTCGGCCCTGGAAATTTCTAGCTCCTAAAAAAAAACTGATAATGGACAGAGTATTGCCGTATGGGGCAGTATATGATTTTCCAATTTTTTTTTCGAGATTTTGACTTCCAGTACCCCCAATTTGGTTTCATACCATCATCAATTAATGACTAATGGTTTATTTTTGTGTGGCAGACAAGAAATTTATCCATCTGTCTCAAAGGTGCGTTCAGAAATTTTCATTTCTGAAAATGGGACGTGCTTTAAAAATACAGCTTTTCGTTATGTTTTAGTTAAGATTTCTCCTAGTGAGCTTCCTCCGACCCATAATCAAACGTTTTAGCACGCCTCGATCGTGTCATTTGGCCCCCATCTAAAGTTGATGACTATTGGTTGCAGGTCAGAAATTCGGCCGAAACTGTAAATTTCGGCCCTGGAAATTTAGCTACCAAAAAACTGGAGAAAATGGGACAGGAGTATGGGGTCAGTATGATTTTCCAATGTTTTTCGAGATTTTTGACTTCCAGTACCCCAAGTTAGTTTTCATACAATCTTCAATTTAACTGACTAATTGGTTTGTGGGCAAAAATGTTTCAAGCTGTCTAATGTGCGTTCAGAAATTTTCATAATCTGAAAATGGGATCAGAGTTTTTTAAAAACTACAACTTTTCGTTTTGTTTTAAGATTTCTCACTGTTGAGCTTATCCGACCCAAATCAAATTCCAGCACCTCGATCGCGGCTTTTGCATCTCTATAGTTGACTGAATTAATTGGTTCACGGTAAGAAATTTGCCGGAAACTGCTATCACATGTCTTTATGATTGCATCATCCCTAACATTCCAAATTTCTACAAACTCTGGTCTGATAGCCAGCCCTCCAGTTGTGCCATTAGTTTAAACTATTTGGATTTGCATTTTGTTTAAGATTTCGTTAAGTAAGTCATCAGTTTATAAGCTCCTTGCCTGTAAAGTTTTTTGTTCGATTAGCCGCAGCAACAGGTCGGAATGAAGTTGTGGCTCAAACAGATATTATCTTATAGTTATGCTGTTTTCAGGGGGACGTGTGCTTCATAATTAGCTAATTGCTTCATAATTAGCTAATTGCGGGAATTTTGACACAGTCTCGAGTCGCTAAACTGCGAGTCTGCTTATTCGAATACTGTAGCAAGGAATCTTATGTTAGGATGTGTGTTTTAATGTCTTTGCTTTTAAAGTTTCTTACGCGTTGTCAGATGCTCCTTTGATCGCTAGGATATTATATTAGTATCCAGTTTAATGATACCTTTGTTATTGAGGAGACCCCGTACGTTTATTTTTGGCGTTTAATTTTCATGATTAATATGCAGTACGCTTATAGTTAAAATATGCAGTACGTGCATTTTATTGATTGCATCAAACTTTACCTCAACATTTCTTAAACAATTATTATTAATATACCACCTTATTTTAATCTAACATTATTTTGTCCTCTCAACCTCCGGTTATCAGTTATTGGTGGCAGGTTTAGCAAAAAACTGCCTTGTCAATCCAGTGGAATGCTTCAAAATCTGCTCCGATATAATAATAAAATTAAGCAATATTAAGGTATGTTAAACATTAAATTTGTGCGCGTTTTTAATAGATACACCTGTTTCCATTGCACAGCAAAATGCTAAAAATACTACATTCTTTCTTTTTCCATAGAACGCAACTTGTCTAAAAATAAAACGGCATTACGTAAATACGTGCCTCCAGTAGCGCTGAAACTCTCTAGTACCCGGCGATCTATGTAAAGGTGTTACCACATCGTGAGTTTACCACTAATTTGACATATTGGCAGTTATTGCTTTACTGAACTTGTCATTTCACCGAAATTCTCTGTCAGAGGTTTCATAACTTCATGATTTCTTGACCTTGCAATCGCGTCACGATTTTAACTTCACAAATATCTTCCTATATCCTTGCTTACGTAAAACATTAATTAGGAGTGTTTTCACTGCTAACCATCATAATCATGGACATTGTTAAATATTAGGTCACAGCCTTAACTTTTAAATTCTACGTATAAAAGAAGCTGTAGAAAAGTTCATTTTTTGAGCACTTTTTTGAGTTAAATTGCTAACACCCTGAACTAACACCCTTCACGCTGTTTGCCATGTTGGAGTGAAATGGGATCACACGTACAATATGAATAAAATATGTAAAAGTGTTAAAATGTTGTTTCCAACTTCCTTCGGACCTTATTGTGATCTAAAAGGGACAGACAGTTGACCTGTTCAATGTTATTAGCCTTATTTTGTCTTAAATTAGTGTGCTTAGTCCATTCCGGAAAATTGGTTAAACGAAAGTCAGGATCCGCAGGAAGCTGTGCATTACTCAGACAGTCTCTATACTTTCTAGTTGGAATTCTACAGAAAATTTAACGTCTCACAGCTTTTGATCTCCAGAGGTAAATACCAAGTTTCCGTGCCAGACTATCCTGCGAATCTCTCAAAATTTTCAGAATTCTTGGCTCCTTATTTCCTGAATTCCTCCAACTGCTCGTTCCTGGTTGTGAAGCTAAAGCCCGATCACTTACCCGCTGTAGATTGTGATGCTTTCTAAAGCACTGGTTTCACCGTACTGCATGAACCGTCCGTAAACAAACCACTGAGCGAACCTGCAGTCCATAGCAAGAACGTACGTGCACACCCCGTCTTGTTTGTACCTGGGAGATAGGAGGGTTATTTAATTGTTTAGCTAACTAATTGTTTAGGTGACTAATTGAAGGATTAATTGATTCTTTAGTTAGGTTCACCAATGACCAAAGTTTGTTGGTTTTGCCGACTAAGAAAATTGTTCTTAGTGGCGCCATTCCATTTGATGAGCAGCTTGTAGTGACGTAATGATAAAACTATGCCAGCAACCTTGCTTTTCAATTGATTGAAATATATATATTCAATTTCACAGCACATAACGTTTACGTGTCTCAACCAAGATCGCTACATAAATTGCACGACACATTAATTCATTTAACCTTTATCAGTTGAGCATAAAATAACTCTTGAAATGAGTCTAGAATATGACAATGGTTCTTGGTACGCTTCTAATCAGCTTATTAAAACTCACAGACCCGTTCACCGCGATTTGATGAATCAAGATACATGTATGATATATGATATAATGCTGATAAGTGATAATAGATATATCTCTGCTTTGTTCAATGAAGTAAACTGAAAATGAACGCATTCATTTGTTTATATCGACAGTCTATATCGACACTTAACACGAATAACTGGTCACGTTATGAACATTATGTTCATACTTTATCACCATAGCATATGTTGCTAGTGAATTATTTGATTGTTTTATTAATAGTCGTTTTGTAATTTTTTAAAAATTAATTCAAACATTTTTACTATAACTATTAACTATTTTAAGTTTAATTTAAAACTTTTAAACTGTAACTACTTTAGTTGAAAACTATTAAATTATAATTACTTTAAAAGTTTAAATAAAAGCTTCTCACGACTTACCATCTGTTGTCGAAGGTGGACACCATAGGGTCTCCCATAATTTGACATACGGAACCACCGTCTGCTCTTAATGTAGGCGGGAGAGGTGTGGTGGGGATGAGGTAGGGGGACGTGGATTCGTAGAGACGGGATTCCGTACTTGACAAGGGCTCCGGGGTTATAATTCGGGGGGTGGGTGTTGGAGATGGAGTTGGAGGTGTCTGAAAAAGGTTGTTAGCTGCAACAGTCATTCAAAGTTTTGGTATCAACTTTATATTTAAAGATGATTATTGTTTCTTCCAATAATAGCTTGGGAGATGGGGGTGAGATTTGCGTGAATAAAGTTCCCGCTTAAACTGTAAAATTGAATAAGAGCCCCGCTCACCGTGGGTTCCTGGGGGACAGCTAGGTGGTTACTAGGTAGTTACTAGATTTTTACTATGTGGTTACTATGTGGTTACTAGGTGGTTACTATGTGGTTACTATGTGGTTACTAGATGGTTACTACCGCTCACCGTGGGTTCCTGGGGGACAGCTAGTCGGAAGTGGTTAATATCAGTCATGTCTCTTTGGAGGGGTGCAGAAGGACAATGTACCCCCACACAAACTATATCAGCTCGGGACAATGTGACTGTGTAGGTGATAGTGTTACCTTCCCCTATCAGCTCCCTGCCGCCCATATCTGCCCCCCAATCTTGGTACCACCTGCAGGTGGGAGGGTTACTAGTGTTAGTTAGTGTTAGTGGAGATATGTGGAGATATGTGGGAGTGTTACTAGTGTTAGATTAGCAGGTGGGAGGGTTAGTGGAGATATGTTTCTAGGTGATAGTTAGACTACTACAATATATCAGGATTAGCAGAGTTTCCAGAACAGTTTTAATGCATATTAGCATCTGAGAGTTGTGAGCACACAGTGATTGGTATGTAAGATATGTACATGATTCTTGGTTCTGGTCCAGGGGTGTCTCCAGCAGGAATTCCTCTGCAGGCCAACTCAACCTCGTCCCCGTAATAAACTTCTGTTTCTTGTAGCTCTTCGTACGAGTACTCAGGCAGACCTAGAGAGGGTTCGTTTTGGTGAAATATGCTTTTTTATCAATATCACACCATTCGCGGTCAGCCGACTTGGTTAGCTACCCCTTTGTGATGGTTTTTTAATCATCCAAGGGGGATACAAATATCTCATTCATTCCATAAAAGATGGGGCGGTTAAAAATGGCAAGTTTGTATATACTGATCCAGTTGAACACTCGTTGAACATTTCTAGTATGAGGGCAACATTGATTGCTTTTGACAATTAATGGTCGATTGAAGATCCTAGGATATTATTGGATTGCTTACTGAAGGAGGAGCAAACACCATCGTGGAAGATGTCAAGATCTACTCCCTTGCACTTCTCCTCTTCGATGGAGCACCGTGAGTAGTATACGCCACAATCCGTTCCTGCGACAACATTCCTTTGTAAATTAAGCAGACAACATTTTGGAAGTTAGGTTACACTATCATATTGTGATAGTGTGTGGGCTAGCATTTAACCTTTTTACTCCAGGGTTGAATGTTTGTAATTTCATTGAATGGGGAGGCAATTTTGTTATGCCCTCTCTCTCTCTCTCTCTCTCTCTCTCTCTCCTTTTTCAAGCACAGGTCCTTACTTACCACAGTAGAGGTTGGGATCGGTCTCGTAGTTTTCCCAAGTACAGAAGGGACACCCTAGTAACACCCTAGTAACACCTCGTAACACCCTAGTAACACCCTAGTAACACCTAGTAACACCATAGTAACACCCTAGTAACACCCTAATTACACCTAGTAACACCATATTAACACCCTAGTAACACCCTAGTAACACCCTAGTAACACCCTAGTAACACCTAGTAACACCTAGTAACACCCTAGTAACACCTAGTAACACCCTAGTAACACCCTAGTAACACCTAGTAACACCTAGTAACACTTAGTAACACCGGTCCTTACTTACCACAGTAGAGGTTGGGATCGGTCTCGTAGTTTTCCCAAGTACAGAAGGGACACCCTAGTAACACCTAGTAACACCTAGTAACACCTAGTAACACCCTAGTAACACCTAGTAACACCTAGTAACACCCTAGTAACACCTAGTAACACCCTAGTAACACCGGTCCTTACTTACCACAGTAGAGGTTAGGATCGGTCTCGTAGTTTTCCCAAGTACAGAAGGGACACGAACATTCAGCTATTCCGAGATCGTAGTCTGCTTTGCAAACTTGGGGTGCATCACATACCACTGTGTCACATAAATCTGAGGACGTACGAGAGTAAGAAAAGTGGGGATAAATGGAAGGAGTTTGGAGATTGGGTTAGTAGGTGTGGATTATACAAATATTGAATGCTTTGAAAAGAAAGCTAATTTGGTTTGAAACTTTAATAATAAATAATAATTTTCGGAATCAATATATTATGTACTTGAAAGCAGTTAAATAGTAAACAGTTTAGTTAGCCTGCTAGAATTTGTAGAATACTAACTAAACACCACGTGATGCCCTTATAAGGAATAATGGACTATAATCCTTTGCGAGTCACTATAAGTATGACCGAGGAGGTACAGTTGAAAAAAGTTCACATTTTCATAAAATTCCGCGCCTAAAAGAGCTGGACAAGCCGTAACAATAACATCCTGGCTTAATAAATAATGAAATCGGAAAGTCTGAACGTGTATTACCATGTTACCAAGATTTTACTCTCAATTTCTTCTTGATCAGGTTTACGTTATATGTGATACATCATCAACAAAATATATAGTGTGACCAAGAAGTTGAGAGTTTTCTGATTTTTCTCATTCCTTTTTTTGTGTGCCTCAAGGCACCTCGTTCTTTCTTTGTAGATTATAGAAATCAAGAGGTGCGAAGTCTTCACCGCGACCAAGTGCATCCTCCAATAGATTTGGAGAATTTGGGCTCTTTCTATTGAGTTGGGGAGTTGCCGATTTACCGATTGGTAAATTTTGAATTTGTAAGTCTTTCACTATGCCATTTTGTCGCGAATTTGTTGTGAACTTGTGGAGTTAGAAGCCTTTGCCTTAACACATAAGAAGCTAGAGAAGATATTACAAAGACACCTATAAGGTGGTACTGATCGTTCGAGATTTGTGAAAGTATTTGAAAGTATTTGGATAACTGTCGGCTTGACGCTTTGTAACCTAATGAGCTAATCATGGAGTCGAGTTGGCGGCTTTATAAGCACGTGGATTAAAAGATACATTTTTCTACTCCATTTAAAACTGATTGTTCCGTCGATAAAACTCGAGAAAATAGGAAAGGTTTGCATTCATGCATTGTTAAAACTTGATTAACATTTGCAATGCATGTCTTCTTCTAATGACCATATAATTCTGACGAATAGAGAGAGGCAGAGACTGATTTCTAATCATAAACTCTGTACCCCACTGTTGACCAGCCGCTAAACATGTGTCTGCTAATCCTACTGACGCTTGATTGACTCAGCGTTCACTGTTAATCCAAAATCAAGCTTTTGAGCAGTATTAAATGATATTTTACCCATGATGAGATTATATCTAAATCTGAATAGCATGTTGCCCGTATAAGTGATAATGATTAAAGGTAAACCGCGTCTGTAATCCAGAATGAATGTTAATTTTTAAAAACCTTATGAGGATACTTTTTAATACCGAAGAATTAATTTTTACGACTTAACCTATAAGTATAATAAGTATAATTTCTAAATAAGAGAGTTGCAAAGCTACAAAATTCATGACATTTAAGGAGGACTTTTAACACATTGAAGCACTGTTAAAAGTAGCCGGCATCCTAAATGATACCTTTGATAGATGCTTCTTCTGTCAGAAAGCGATCTGCTGGTTGATATATCTGCCAGGCGCTGCTTTTAGGCGGGTCCCAGACAATACAGCATGTCTCCGGGTCATTACAACACAGTCACAGGTCTGACAGATAGTTGTCCCATAGCATACTTATAGCTGATTTAAAGCTGACTTAAAGTTCACTTATAGCTGACTTATAGTTTTTTAGCTAGATTGAATCATTGTGTGGGTTTTTTGGTCAATGATTTTAACAGTTTATTTAGGTTGCAGATTTGATGCGTTTGCATTAGTGTTGCAGATTTACGATGTCATTTTTGATTTGTCCTTCGTCAATATGCGCATAATAAGTTACAAGGGTTCACAGGCATTTACAAGGATTTTGGGGTTTGATTTGCATTAATTTCCTTAGAAGCATCGCAACCCCAGAAGCTCTATTAGATGTCATATTGTTTGGTTTCTGGCATTATTATTATTTGTAGGTTTTAGTCCCGGGTCCCTTTAAGAAACCCCTTGACAGGTCCATTGATTGTTCGTGAGGTTACTAGACTTCATTCTGATTCAAACCCTGGTACAAACATTGTGACAATGACGGTCAATGATAGTGTGTTACAGTATATTTTACTGTATTATATTATTATCAATCCTGTGATTAAATAATAATAAGGAGACTTTCAAACATTTAAAGGTTCAATCTTTCCTCGGAAAATGACCAGAGAGATTAATCTGCAATTTATATAACCATCCGAACTTAGCATAAATTAGTGATTAGTTACTGCATACTATCGGACTTCTTTACTGCATAATAATAATATCGGAGAAGGGTTCCTAAAAGGGCAGGTGGACTTTACAGGCGGACTTTACAGGCGGACTTTACAGCTAAGGAACTATATGAAGTCAAAAGGTTTCCACGGGACTTACCACCGATAGTAAGGTAAGTATCCTCATAGATAACTCCCTCCCCGTTTTTAGCCACACATCTATACCAGCCCTCGTCTTGTTCTATAGCATAAGTTTGGGCCATCATTGTTTGCACTGCTCGCTTCTCAATATCCACCGAGTTGGAGACAGAGCCAGGTACCTGAGGATAAGCGGAGTTTTAGAGATGGAGCTAAAGAAACCTTCTCTCAAAGAGGTGGTCACTAAGGGTGCATGTGATGAGGGGAAACCTGCAGTCTCAGAATCACAGCTAGATGACCAGGGCGTCCCACTATGCAGGACTCTCTAACTAATCAAACAGAAATATTTTTGTTTTGGCATCGAGCCAAATTGACACAGTCAAACAAGCGTATGCGTTCACTTTGACATGGTCAAACAAGCGTATGTGTTCACTTTGAAGCGCACTACTTTAGTTTCAAGTCACTTTAAGTTCTATTTCTAAGTTTAAGTTCTAAGTTTCATACCGGACTAAGATCAGCGTCTTCCTTATAAACTATTTCGATAAAGGGAGCTGGGGCTCCCTCAGCCATGCACCGTATCTCAAACGGCTCTCCTGGTGCAACGGTCTGGTTACCGGTTATCAGCAGTATTACTGGTGGGGCTGCGTCTGAAAATAAGGGGTTGGGGTTAGTGGAAACATTTATATTTCATGTAGAACTTATTTTCAATTTCAGCCTCCTTTTTCGGAAAATTGTTATATATTAATGCTTTTCAAACAAAGTAACAACGAATTCTTCATGTAGTGCATCCTGGGTTTGGACAGGATATGCCCGTTTAAAATATTTCCATCACGTTATATTACATAATTCTCAATAAATGTAATAGATTTGTAGTGTTGTAATTAGTTAAAAAAATATAGTATGCTGCTAATTGCAGAAAAATGATTGTTATGTATGTTCATTCGAATGTTGGATTGGTCTTGATGTTACCTACCGTGATTAAATTTTTCATTCATATGGGGTGGAGAGCTATTCTCCTATCGGAAATTACTTTGGGACATAAAAGCAATATATTTAATATTGTCCGATGTCTTCACTTTTAGTTATAATAGCAGAAATATTTGCTTCTTTCAGTAATTCATAATTTCCTCTGAAGTAATTTTCGTATTATTTTTTCTTCAGTCCGTCAGCTATATATATAACTTATAATGATTTCTAGAGACATTTTCTTAAGTTAATTATCTGTTGATCAGATCAAGTAAGTAGTAGCAAATTCAGCAGAAAGTTTCCATCGATCTAGGGTATCGTGGGGAACGGAGATTTTGGTTGCAAAAATAAGCACCAACTATCCCACGAAATGAATATGTTTGAAAGTTGTCCAGGTTTCGATTTAATTCTCTTTTGAGGAATGATTATAGTATTTTCTGTGCAGATTTACTGGACACAACCCCAGCACTCTTATATACGTGCTATTATTGAGAATTCTAAGGAAAGTCTCTATTATACTAATCACCACCATTCACTACTACGGTAGGGCCATTGTAATTTGATTTTATTCATCTCCAGCAATTATTGTCTCCCGATGGAAGCCGAAATTATTATCACAATAGTATCTCCCACAATTTTTCCCTGCTTTTCTGACTCCAGTGATATCGCACTATTATTTAATCTCAAATCACGGGCTGATTATAACCGGAAACAAGGCGTGTCGTGACCTTCGCTGTTATTTCAGATTTTGCTACCTCAAGGTTCTTCCAATAGGAATCCACTGATAGTATTGTGAAACATTTCGAGACAGTTTTACTAACATTTCACATGATAAGTGTCACATTCCAGATTATTATAACTAGGCACAGATTAATGATTACGTCAGCTAATTATGGTAAGCAGCTTATATTTTTTAAATGTTAACGCAACAAACTAAAATTGTGTGCTTGCAGAGAAATGCAGAGCAGATGAAGGCGTGCTCCGAATTTTGTAATAGTCGACAAATAAACCAGGTCCGCAGCTGACTAAATGCGCCCTATTTCGTCTTCTCCTCTCAGCACCCACTTCACGTAATTCTTCCTCCCCAATTTTCAAATATTTAGGATTTTAGCTGGTTTAGTACTAATGCTTACGCTATTTCACCAAACAGCTTCAGAGGCAGCCAGCCAATCGAAATCCACTATTTTCGCCTCTTGGTTTATGCCCCCAATTTGACGAAGCTCAGTGGTTTTAGCAAAAATGCACTCAAATTCTAAAATTCTTCGGGCCATGGTTTTCAGTGGAGCTTGCGAGGACTGCCAGTCGCCAGAATTTACTGTCTTAAATTCTATGTTTTTTCACTCCTCTATTATTAAAATTTCGTACCAAGCCATGCTTGAACTTTGAGCAGGCAGAAAAGTTTATCACCTTTAAAGTTAATAACCGTACTTTAACCGTACCTTTAAAGTTAATAACCGTACAACACGGCTTCTTATTAGCAAATAATATTGTCAAACAAGGGTTGAAAACACGTCACTTCCTTTTTATTGGAAAAATGATCTTATTGTCTATTTAAAGAGGATCAGTTGCAACCAAAGTACCAATAAATTATCCAGCATGAATGATCTTGAAATCAATTCTTTCGAATCGAAAGTAAATTAGTAATTTTCAGCGGATTTTCTATGGACTGGTTTTTTGTTTCGGAACATATAAGTCACTTACCCCAGTAAGGGACAGTCTCACTGCTCAGGATGGTGGTGGTCTTTGTTGCTTTGTTCATTCGGTACTGGTTGCAAACTGGTTGCATGTCAGGGGTGTACTGAATGCATTCTCTACCCTGTGGGAGACATATAACGTTAGCTTTGGGGTACTTTTGCTCATATTTTGTGATACAATTTTTAATAATTATTCTGAGAACTTGGATTTAATCCGTGAGTCACAAATTAATGGACCATAGAAATAGATGTTTACAATGATCCCTTTGAAACCCTATAATTATACTTGAGGGATTCGTTTACTAGTTTGTTTACCTGGGGCGTTTCACAAAGGTCATGGAGCTCCATCTGTCTGCAGTGCTTGTGTCCTTTACCCTCTCCTAATCTTAGCGTCGCTACTAGTGCCACTGAAATAATAGGGATTAAGAATCTAGTGTTGTGTTCTTTACCATCTCCTAATCTTAGCGTCGCTACTAGTGCCACTGAAATAATAGTATTTAAGAATCTAGTGTTTTATCCTTGACTTTTCATACTTTTTATTTTCTGCCTCTGTATCCTCATTTTATTTTTGTTTTTTAATCATTGATCGAATTTCTATGAACTGCTGAGCTTGGCCGTAATAAAATAAAGATAAAGATCATAACATGATGTCGAGTATATTGATATACTTCGATTTATTATTTTAAAACTTTCTTAACTCTCGTGGTATACAATTGTGGTCAATTTGATTTAAATTGTGGTCTATGGACGGTTTTTTGTTAAAAAACTGTCCTCTTCATGTTGCAAATTTGTGCAGCTTTTTAAACTTGAAACAAGTCATACATAATAATAGAATAATTTGTCAACCGCGGAACCACAATTTGAATTGAAAAGTTCCTTCTGACAAGAGCAGCAGAACCACAAAATAGTTATAGAAAAATAGGAATGTTATTATAATTCCCAGCGCTGATACATTTTAAACAACAGACGTAACAAACGGTAATTTAGTATTTAGCTTACTGAGTAGAGCTATCATCGTGTATCACGTATCTGGTGTACCTCGTTTCCTGGTATGATAATATCAAGATATCTCACAATTTAGTTTAAAACATTTTTCCCTATAGGCTATACAATGTCCAGTTTAGTGAGAAGATCTCAAACTTACACTTAGAGAAATTTTATTATCAGGTGATTGATTATATTGTTATAGGGGTGGAGCAGTGATTTAACTGTGATTTAACAGACTGGAGCTGTCAGTTTTAAGAAATAGTTTGAATAGCTTATCAAATTAAGAGGCGAGCAATACCAGGGAGGGGTCTAGTTTTAAGAGCAACAGGAATCTGGTCAGGAATCTGGTCAGGGTTGTTAAAAATGATCTCACACATAAATCGACCTCAATTGATAGAAACTAAGGGAAACCTCAATAAGCTAACGAGAATTGGTGATAAGAGAGCTGAAGAAGCTGTAAAATTGTCCTTACAGAGCTATAAACCGTGTTATCAGATAGGGAGGTTGTCACATTTGTACCTTACAGAGCTATAAACCGTGTTATCAGATAGGGAGGTTGTCACATTTGTACCGATAAGGGTGAAACAAATCTCACAAGTGCAGGCGTTAATAGGTGAGCCCTCCCATTTAATTGATAGTGAAGAAACGAAACAGTGTACAACACGTACTACAACAGGCAACTTTAAACTATCAAAATATGAACGCGTAAAAATTACAATAAAGAATGAAGGGCTAAGGAACTTACAATGACACACGAAAAATAACAAGTGTATCCGTTTCATCAAATAAAAAGCCAACAAAAGGAAATCTAGAGTCTAGACCGACTTTTGAGGTGAAGTGGCCACAAATGTTGCAGTTTCCGCACAAATGTTGCAGTTCGACGGATCAACAAATAAAAAGTTGACCGAATCTTGGCTCCGATCTTCTGCAGTAACCCCTTGCATGCAACAATGAAATCCTTTTAAGCTTTTATACTTCGCTATTCGGGAAGAAGAGCTACAAAAAAGGACAAGTCATGACCGGTGATGATCTATGAAAGTGATTTGTGAGCTGTTAAGTCAGACTAGGTCTTTAAGGGGAGTAGTGTTATGCAATCTTGAGAAGAAACCCTCCACTCTACTACGAAATAGTATATCAAATGTTTCCGTTTCTTGTTTTTTATGATATTACTGCTGGGGTAGAAACACTGTGGATCTGTCTGATTGATAAATCGTGTGTTTAAACATAAAATAAGAAAGTAGACAAGAAATATACAAATATTCTTAACGCGATCAATGATCATTATAGTATGTGATACGTTGATGAGCAAGTTTTTACGGGGATGTATTTTGTAGCGCACATTAGGTAATAACTCTATTTAGCGCCAATTTGGGTACTGTAAATATGCACAGTATCTGTACTCTCTCTCTCTCTCTCCCTGTGTGCAGAGCTGATATGTGAAGTTGTAAATGCTCCACTTTCCTGGAGATATCTCCAGATAATTCTATAATTGACAGGACCTATTTTGGGGATTCCTTTGAAAGTGGAAGTGGATAAATTCTTGAGTCCGAATGACAGTGCTAAATATGTGAGCATAATATTTATTAATATTATAATAATCTAGTTTGATATTTAGTGGGATGCATAATGAATATGTTGCAACTGAGATGTAGCCCTGAATTCGGTTGACCCTATGTTATGGTATGTTTTAAACTAGGGAGCTGTCTACTGTCACCTGCCACGACAGTTCAAATGTTTTTCCCACGGGTAAGCTAATCATCAACCTTGGTCATTGGCCAAATGCCGTCCCAAAAACTTACAGCAGAAAAAGTAAGAAATCGTAAACTTCTAAAGGCAAACTGATAAATCGCGTGCACTGCAATTGGAAATGAGATCTATAACGAGCAAACCAAAGAATGGATTTAAGAACAGTTAATTAAGAACAAAGCTGTCCACCTAATGTCACAGCTTCTGTCATCAGAATTTGCATCTCATTAAACCATCGTTAAATCTGCAATTAATACTTCCGAAGTTGCTCGTCTCCTATCAGAATTAGAAACCTTTCTTTTAAAATCGCAGGATGTCACCTCAGTAGACAATGGATTAAGTTAAGCTCGAAATAACCACTACGGAGTACTTTAAGAATGCGAGACTAAAGCCAGACAGCGTTTAAAAACAATCAATGAGGAACAGTCAGTACTTCAGTAACATACTGGAATGAATGCATTCTGCAACAAACATCCAAAAAGGTCTGCAAACTGTAGTCTGCAAACTGAAGTCTGCAAACTGTAGTCTGCAATCTGTGGCAGACACTTGACGGAATGTTCGTTTACAACAAAAAGGAAATACCATGACCAGACAAAGTATCTCTTCTATGTAAAAACATATAACATTACTATATAAATACTGTATAGAGGCGTGAGAAGCTGCAGTCCTCGCCCTGAAACTGATAGCTAGCCTGCAAAGCTGCTTCATTGATTAAATCAGGAGTAGTGACGTGGCCTCAGTTTCATGTCATTTCTGATACCATTCTTCTTACTTCCTACCACAAATCTGATTACCGATTAGATGTGCACATTCCCTATTATCTTAGGTGCTGGGTGCTATTAGAGGGGGTGCACAATGCTTATCAAACTGATAACTTTCTGGCACTCTGGCCGTGTTGATTCCGATTGTGATAATTGGTGGTGGCGGTTGGAGTGTTTCATGAATCAATTATCGCAGTTCTCCGTGGTGGAGATCTGATAAAATTCGTTTATTTCATTAGGAAAAGGTTGTACAGGCGGAGACTATACAGGCGTCAGATCTCATTCATGGATTATGTAATGTGTCCTCTACTGGTGTGGTGTCAAAATACTTAGCCATTTGTTAAAGCAAGGATTTTAGGGCATGGTATAGGGCGTGAAGTCTTCAAGGTAGAGGGTGTGAAGTATTCATCATACATGGTTTAGGGCGTGAAGTCTTCATGACAAAGGGCGTGAAGTCTTCATGGCAAAGGGCGCGAAGTCTTCATGGCATCGGGCGTGAAGTCTTCATGGCATCGGGCGTGATCTTCATGGTATAGGGCGTGAAGTGTTCGTATCATGACAGAGCGTGTGAAGTTATAGGAAGGATATGCGTCTTGAAGTTATAAGTTTTACACAACAGAGAGTCAGAGTCTGGAGCTATTGATCAGTTACCCAGGTAATTGTTCTGTGATTCCAGAGCTTCTGGTTATTGTTCTGTCAAATTGTGAACACCTTCAGAGTATTGGGTATGTGAGCTGCAAAGTAAGATCTGTGAAGTGTGAAGTGTGAACATTTAATCGAAAAGTAAGCTGATGGTGCTCGAAATGAACTCCAAAACCTAAAAACGAACGAAGGAATTGAAAAATGAAAATGTTGACACTGTTTATTAGGCGTTTCTGTGTTAAGAATGTTAACCTGCTATCATAAAGTCATAAGTCTTACAGGGCTGGTATTTTATGATAAAGGACAAAGGAGATTGATAAATGTTTAGAAGCTCTTTGGAAATAGTGGAATAATATTATGATACAAACTAAAGGTATCAAATAAAGTTCGTCTATCTTGGGGAGTCAGGAATTTAACAAATTTCCATTACTAACTTGATATGCTTCAGAAATCCCAGGAGTCTATCCTACTTTACTTTCCTATAAAAGTATCTAATTATTCAGGTCAAGGTCAGATCAATATCTGAGGAATTCTGAGGCAATATTGTTTAATATAACCTAAAACGATATCTGACAAAACGATTGTGAGCAAGAAAACCTTAAAACTGACACGTTGCAACTGCTACTGTCCTCGTCTGATCGCTGAATCAGAGGAGGGAGGTTAGCGATGTTGACAGATCCGATTTAGAGAGGATTTGTCAAAATTCAAATATCTAGATTAGCATACTCATAGCTTACTACTAATACTCATACTCATAGCTTGACAGTAGTAGTTCGTGCTGCAATAATTAAGCTCTGCAACCGGAATTTGTATGGTTTCCGCACGTTTCTATTTATGTTATATCACCTAGAGTCACCCTATGCGATCTTAATTTTTGAATGAAAAGCTCATCAGTTTGTCACTATTTTAGCCTATATAATACTGAACAACAGCAATTACTAATGGTGTGATGTAAGGACTACTTCAATTCTCAAAAAAGTGGAGTGTTGACCATTCCTTATTATTCCTACTCCGAAGAAGACCTTGCTTATAGGGTTAAAATATGCTAAATCGAAATTAATAAATTAGATGGGATATAATAGGATGCCAAATATTATAATGACATGTTGTTTAACGAATAAGTAAAAGAATGCGAATTTAATACATACGAGAAAATATATCAAATAGTTTCATGACACCAGCAAGGAGGGTACGGAGAAGATTTACAATCCTCAAGTTATGTTAACTTAACGCTGGACAGAAAAATTTAAGATATGATGAAAAGTCGTATCATAAAGTCATAATATAAACTAGTCTACAGAAATAATACTCAGAGTTTAATGAGTGCATGATGGTAGAATTACATTTATTTATAGTTCTCTCCTCCATTCTGGTTATTTGTGAGGGCGGTTGCAATTATTGCAATGTATCGACTAATGATAAGGTCAATTTTTACGGAAAAGTACACAAACATTGATATATAAGGACGTGATGAAACTACCGGACCACGATGTATGGGGACTTGCCACCCTATGACAACATTAAAAAATATAGATTCTGTATTACTACGCTCCTTTTATGTACACTGAAGACCATATATTACAATATTATCATTACTGTAATATTAGGAGGGAGGTTTGGTACACTAGTTACTAAGTAAACAGTTTCACAGTTTTCAAAGTTTCACAGTTTCATTAGCATTGCTAATCCGATTGGAGCAAAGTTTTAAAAACATTAAATTCAACTGAATAAGATTAGGGCAAACTGCCTGAAATGTGAAACTTAATCCCGATTTCAGACTCCCTAAGTAAACTTTTGATTGAACTCCCTCCGTGGGAAAAAGAACAATGTCGAAAGCATTCGTCCCTCAATTTCGTTAAGATCAAGGTATGGGCACCGTAAGAGCTTCAAATCTATAATTTCATGGTACTAT